CTGTAAGTATTGCTATGGAACAATGTCTGTGATATGCTGGTAAGTGAAAAAATACAGTGTGAGCTCAGTCATGCAAAAAAAAAAAAAAAAAGACACATTTAAATGATTGTATATGCATTTAAAAAAATCCAGGAAGAAGACAAAAGATATTTAATAATTGTTCTTTTCAGGGACTGAGACTACAACAGGACTTTGTCATCTTCTGTGCTGTTTGAAGATGTTTTTACCATGTACATGTGTAACTTTCATAATTTTTAAACTAACAAAAAACAACCGAAAAAGAAATTTTCCCCCGAAGTGGTCCAATCATATTGAATCTAGCAGCGACTTGTCTCTGTATTGCTGAACTGTAACAGTTCTTTAATTAGCCTGGATACTAGACCCTTATCAGATATATGATTGTAAAAATGTTCTTTTTGTGGGTTTTCTCTTTACTTTCTTAATAGTGTCCTTTGAAGCAAAAAGCCTGCCTATTTTTGGCCCGTCTATGAGCTAAGAATTCCTTTACATTTTTAAATGGTTAACACACAAAAAATCAAATAATAGTTCATGATGTGAAAATTATATGAAGTTCAAATTTCAATTTCATTAGTAAAAGTCTGTTGGAACACAGCCACACTCAATAGTTTACATATTGCCTCTGGCTGCTTTTACTCTACAATGGCAGAGTTGAGAAGCTGCAACAGAAACATGCCCACAACACCTGATATATTTACTATCTGACCATTTGCAGAAAAAGTTTGCCAATATTCATGGATCACAAGACTTACTATTGCTAAGATGCCAATACGCCCCAAACTGATCTACAGATTCAATGCAATCCCTATCAGAACCCAGCTGGCTTCACAGGAACTGACAATCTGATCTTACAATCCATGGAAATGCAAGGGGCACAGCCAGCCAAACTACCTTGAAAAAAAACAAAGTTGGAGGACTCACAAAATTTGAAATTGTGATACAAAATTATACAGTACTGTGGAGGATAGTATACAGACCAATGGAATAGAATTGAGAGTCCAGAAATAAATCCATACAGTTATGGGCTATTAATTTCCAACAAGGTGCCAAGACAACTTAATGGGGAAGAATAATCTTTTCAACAAATGATGCTGGGACAACTGCATATCCACGTGCAAAAGAATGAAGTTGGACCCTTATCTTGTACCACATATAAACATTAGCCCATCGCTTCTCGGCCTTTGGCTAAGATCAAGTGTAGTATCTGTTCTTATCAGTTTAATATCTAATAAGTCCTCTATCTGAGGAAAATATATTAAATGGATTTTTGGGATTAGGAGATGGAATAGGAGCTTGTTCTGTCCACTCCATGCATCAACCTGGTATTGCAGTACCTCCAGGAATGGTGCACCAAAATATAAAAGTAAAAAAATAAAAATTAACCCAAGATGGATAAGACCTGCCCAGTTGGTGTGACCCAGTGGTTGAGCATTGACCCATGCACCAGGAGGTTGCTGGTTCGATTCCCAGTCAGGGCACATACCTGGGTTTCGGGCTCGATCCCTAGCAGGGGGCGTGCAGGAGGCAGCCAATCAATGTTTCTCTCTCATTGATGTTTCTCTGTCATCAATGTTTCTATCTCTCCCTCTCCCTTCCTCTCTCTCTAAAAATCAATAAAAACATTTTTTAAAAAAAAGACGGATTAAGACCTAAAAGTAGAAGTTAAAACTCTACAATTCTTATAAGAAAACATAAGAGTAATAAATCTGTGACCTTGAGTTAGGCAACATTTTTTGAGGTATAACAACTAAAGTACAGCAACCAAAGATAAAATAGAAAACTGGGTGAGTTCATCCAAATTAAAAACTTTTCAGTGGGGGCGGGGGAGAATCAACAATAAAGATAATTTTTAAAAAATTAAAAACATTTTTGCTTCAAAGGACACTATAAAGAAAGTAAAGAGAAAACCCACAGAGAGAACATTTTTACAAATCATATCCTATCCTATCCTATATAATAAAAGCATAATATGCAAATGGACCAAATAGCAGAACGACCAGTCGCTATGACGTGCACTGACCACCAGGGGGAAGACGCTCAAAGCAGGAGCTGCCCCCTGGTGGTCAGTGCGCTCCCATAGCGGGAGCACTGCTCAGCCAGAAGCAAGCATCAGCCGCAAGCCCAGTGACGGTGGTGGGAGGTCTTTCCTGCCTCCACTGCAGGCAGCTGGTAAGGAGCAAGGGGTCCCGGACTGTGAGAGCCCTGGACTGCGAGAGGCATGTCTGCCTGCCGGCTTAGGCCCAATCCCCCCCCCCCCCCCCGGGGCCGTTCAAGAGGGTGCAGGCCAGGCTGAGTGACACGCTTTCTACCCGCCCCCCCTCCAGTGCAGAATCGCGTGCACCAGGCCTCTAGTATCTGACAAGAGTCTAGTATCCAGACTAATTAAAGAACTGTTACAATTTGACAACAGACAAATAACTAAAAAATGGGAAAGAATGAGGACAAGGGCTTCAAAGTGAGTGTACCAGTCTGGGTCCCTAATCTTCCTCAAAAAGACAATAAACTCTTACCTGTGCAAGCTACTGCAGTAGGGTTTTGTTATATGCAGTGAATATAATCCTAACTGATAACACCACCTATAGCTAAACTAAATGATGCTCAGTAGACAGAGATGTGAACAGGTCCTAGTGGCCCTGCCTTTGAAATCAGTCCCTTCTCCATCACCTCGCCTCGGCCAACGTCCTGGCAGAACCCACCACACCTCCCCCGGACACTGCAGGCTTCCTACCAGTGGGTTCGCCCATGCTCCCCTCATTGTTCTCACCAGCGTTCACTGTGAAATGGAACTGGAGTCCTGCCAGTCCCTGACCAAATGAGACGATGCCTTCCTATCTCATTGAGAATAAATGCCAGCGCCTTTACTCCAACTACAGGGGAGGCCCTGAATGGCTGGGCCTCCTCCTACCTCTCTGACCTCACCTCCTACCAAGAGTTCCCTGTCTGCTCAGCAGGTGTGGCTCAGGGATGGAATGTCAACCTATGAACCAGGAGGCCAGGGTTCGATTCCTGGTCAGGGCACATGCCCGGGTTGCAGGCTTGATCCCCAGTGTGGGGCGTGCAGGAGGCAGCCAGTCCATGATTCTCATCATTGATGTTTCTCTCTCCCTCTCCCTCTCTAAATTCAATAAAAAATGTTTTTTTTAAAAGAGTTTCCCTCTCACTAATTCAATCAGCCAAACTGACCTCTGTGCTCTTCCTCTTTGGGCCTGTTCCCCTGCCTAGAATGCGCGTCCCCCACACCTCACGGCTATTTCCTTGACCACTTCAGTCATTTACTCAAAGCCACCCCCTCCGTGGACACCTTACTAACCTGACGCTGCCCGCCCCCTGGCCTGCTCTGTGCTCCTCCTCCTGCCTATTTACCGTCTCTACCCGTGTCCCTCGGGAGCAGGAAAGCTCCCTGAGCGCAGCTCTCTCCGCCCACGGCCGCGGCCTGCACCTGTTAGGACAGCGCCTCCCATACATGAGATGCTCAGTAAGTATTTATTGGTGAGTAGACAATTACAGTCAGGGGGAAAATGAGGTGGGAATCTGAAGAAGGAAAAAGTGTCAGAAGCAAATGTCAACTGCCTGCCAAGCTCGGCGCCCTGCATGCCAGTCCCACACAGGACCCTGCCTCCTCCGTGCGGAGCCAGCCAAGAGCAGGCGCTCAGATCCCAGGGAGGCCCCCGCGTGGCGTGGCGGTGACACCACAGCTCCGCACACTGCCTGGCTCGGGGAGCACTGCTCTTCATGTATCACTTATGCAAACCACCGATTAAAACACAGAGCAAGAGCCATAAAAACAGACGGGCACTTTCTAAATTGCTTCTGCCAAATCTTACTTTGGGGAACGGATTTTTCAGCTGAAGCATCGGAAACAAGAAATGCCAAGATCCAAACTTGTAATCAATCAGTTTGTTACTCACAACTTACGAATACCTGCGTTCTCAAAAGCAAAATACATAAATAATATGATATTTGTGCATTTTAGTTAAAAGAACTATAATTAGGCCTAATGCAGTTTACTTCAGAGCATGCTAAGAACCTTTAAAAGTTACTCTGTTGAAATACTTTTGTTTTTAAATAATTTAAAATCTAGCTTCACATAGGTTACATCTGGAGGGACTCACGGGAGGAAGTGTACTGTGCTTGCCTCTGGGAACAGTTAGGCACTTGGGAGAAAGGAGTGGGAGCGAGATTTTTAATTGTTACCTTTGGAATTGGCATCACATTAATGTATTGCTTATGCAAACACAACAGATTATAATTTTAAATAAGTCAGTCACACATTACCTTAAAAATAAACGAATGAAACAGAAGCTATCTACTCTGTCAAGCCTACTTTAGAAGGAAGTCGCTTTATACCCATGTTTGAAGATAAGGAGTTCAGCAGGCTCTGTCAAACCAGCTAAGCACAGAGGGCGGACTTTAGGATGGACAGCGTCTGGCCAAGCCACCAGGGGCAGCAGTAAGATCTCGCTCCCACCCAAAGCCCTGGTGCTGGGTTTACACAAGAGCCAGGCACTGTGAGAGCGGACAGGCACCCCCTGGAGAGGCACCGCAGTCCGTCTGCCAGGGGTTGTGACTATAAATCGCTTGTTGTGGTCATCTATAATAGTAATAAAATTGTTTTCTAATTTTTCCCTAAGTAGCCAAACAGGTTTTTCACCTCTTAGAACAACAAATAATTGATTTCTAAATTTTATTCTAACAGATAAGCCAACATTACTCCGCAAATCCACATTTTTCTAGTTAAACTCTCGGAACACCGCCAGGATCATATCAGAAATATAAAGAACAAGAGCACATGACAGAGGAGAATCCGTCTGAAGTCTGGCACACCTGCAGGTCAGCAAGGGAAAGGCGCGGGGGCGGGGCCCGGACTGCAGCGCAGGGGCTTCGGGGGACAGTACGCGGGTTCTGTGCGCAGGTGCTCGGACGGCCTCTCTTTTTCTGTCTCAAAAACCCTCGCAGGCACAAGCCTGGGAGACCCCCAGTACCCAGGCCGGACCAGGATGTCGGCAGGGACGCTCCGGGGAGCCGTCCGCGGTCTGCAGACACCCGCGTCCAGCAAGCTGGGCGACGACCCCGGTGCAACGTCCATCCTTCGCCCAGCGGTGGCCTCTCCCCCCGCGCGGCGTCATTACCCCCAGGAGGGCGGGCAGGGGGCTGCATCAGCTCCCTCACCCCGTCGGCTTTATTACTTCCCACTTGTTAATAACCACCACCCAAGTAGGTCACCCCTTCCTTCCTGCACAACCACGACTCACTCAAGAGCGTGCAGGCCTGGCCTGAGCTTGGGCAGCGGGTCTCTCTGCTGATGCTCCAGGTC